TCTGCCTCGTCGCTGAACAAATAGCGCATTGTATTGGTGATCAATTGATAATTCGCTTTGCGTATCTGTTTCAATGTTCGACATTTTTGTGGCGGCAGTGGTGGTTTTTTGGTGCGTGATGTGCTCGCAACCGGCTCATTTGATTTCGGATGGTTTGCCAATTCTTCGGAAATCACACAATGATTCAAATATGCCCGAACATTATTATACAGACTACGTATGATACACATCATGAAATTGGTGAAATATTGCCGAGTTGCATAGGTGAAAATGTTACCATAACCAATTGCATTTTTCTCAATGACTTTGTGCTTCTGACAGAACTTGATTATAGCCTGATCCAATTTCCATGTTTTTTGCAATTTTTTCTTGCCATTGATACAATTACCATACACACCACGAAAATAACCATCAAAATAATTACGATTGTATTCACACGTACTGTTCCAAAATTCGGTACGAATGGCTGCTTCATTGTTCGATTGTATGATTCGCATGAGGCTACAGTGTACGTTGAGTGCGCCAAGTCGCCAAGTGTGACTCATGTCCGTGACAATTTTATTGATAATGCTAGCCAATTCATCCTTATTTACTAGATTTTCATTGAACGACTTACGTTTACCCATTTTGATCGATTGGAATCTTTCTGAATCCTCATCACCATTGTCGCCATCGTCATCGCCATCATTGAAATCAAAATCATCGTTGACATAATCATTATTCGATGTATTCGGCATACTGGTGGCACGAGTTGTTCGCTTCTTTGGTGCCGGTGCATTTGTAATCGTTTTTGCTCGCTTCTTTCGTTTGGCCGGTATTGTTTTTTGTCGTGCATTGCTAGTATTCGATTGTGATTGTATTGGACGTGTACCTGATGCGACTGTATCACCGGATGATGTTGGTGTAGACACATCGTTCCGATCGGCAACTGTAGAAGCAGCAGTTGTATTAGTATCAACACAAATTCCAAAACCATTTCGTAAACGCTGCAAGGCTTCGGCATGACTCCGTTTGAATTTTTCCACCAAATCTTCGACTTTTTGTTTAACGTTTGAATTCAATTTGATGTTCCGTGTGAACTGATTCAATTGTGTGCTCAATTCATTTGCAATTGTTTCAACTGTGTGTAGAGAGAAATGTGTTGTAAATCATATAAATTCTGTTATATGAAATCAATAAAAATCTACAAAAAAAAAACTATGTAGTCATTTTAAGCGATTTTAATATTTTACCGATTTGACGATGTGCTGCGTTTGAAGCTATTATTCTTGTCATGGAAGAAAACACATTTTGGCATTCCATTTCGATTTGATTGTGTGTTGACGATGTGCCGGCATTTTGTATATTTTGATGAATTGGTGAATGGTGGCTTAATGAATTTGAGTGTTGTTGCTGTCGATTGTTTTGATCGAATCGTACGCGTTTCGATTGTGTCGAAGTCTGTGGCGAGACTAAACTAGGCGTGTGCGTGACATTACTGTGTGCGTCGACAACATCATCATCATCATCATCATCATCGTCATCCGATTCAATGACTGTATGGAAACATTTTCATTAGATTAGAAAAGAATTGATTCGGGTTCCCTTTGGACCCGTATTTATATTGTCGTGTGTTTTTATTTTCAAAATCAAAAGAAGAAGTAGAAAAAAATATCAAACGAAAGACACAACACAACGAGCTATTTACCTTTTCGTCTTTTTGATCCAGTTGTATTTGTGGCTCGGTATCGATTGAAATACTGAGTTTCAGAATCGTTCTGTGACATGACTTCCAAGCCAACGGTGCATGGTGTACACTGTTCTAATTGAATTCCGATCGATTGATGAACTCCGTCTTGTACATCCACATGCTCTTGTGTCGGCTCAGTTTGTTGGCTATTGTCCACAGTCACATCCAATGGTTGATTCTCTTCTTCTTCTTCGTCTTGATTTTGTGTCGGCTCAGTTTGTTGGCTACATATTCGTACAATATCGAAGAAAGATCTTGGACAACAAACAAGCGGAACAGAACATAACCAAACTTCAAAAAGCAAATAAAAAAAAAATTGAACATGTGCCGAAAAAATCCGAAAATCACCAATCAATTTAGAAATACTCATCAATTTGCAATCAATAGCGATAATTTTTTTTTCGAAACACGACTAAACATGAATTTACCTGATTTATTTTGGGACTTTGATGAATTAATGCACAGGAAAAATTGAAAAATTGTTCCGTTGGTCCGATTGACAATTGCGTCTCAATTTCTTTGATCGTTTAGATGATGAAATTATCAAATACGTTTTTTAAAGTTAAGAATATTTTCCAATTTGTTATCAATTTGTTTGGAATCACGACAAAATATGAACTAATTCGATAATTATTGTGTTTTATCTGATTTTGAGCACACTAAAAATTAATTACGGTTTTTTTCCGCCTTTGAGACTAAATTATTTCAACTAATCCAATTGGAGTTCGCTGTGTAAATGCGAAAGATTATTTGACATTTCGTAATAACAATGCCGACAAACTAGCTGCTACTGTGTATGTGTATGTGTATGTAATTGCGCATAATTAATTCAATCTGAAACAATGACCAATAGACGATGCGCCATCTATTGGTGATTCTTTTAATTTTCATTCGATTGTATCGTTGTTGAAATGGTTATGAGCAAAAAAAAGTCATAAACACAAAAGTCATCGATGCCAAAATAATTACATCAAATTCAGGGACAGGCGTTGCTGTAATGACCACCAATTATCGTATATTCCTTATAAATAGTATAAAAGAGCCGAAAAATCGACAATTGCCCGAAATGCCAAGTGAATATCATCACCCATACGTTCGATTAAGACTAACTTTGATGGTACTTACTTTTGATTTGATTTATTTACAGAATCGATACTCGATCCAACGTGTTGGACTATTATCAATGAAGATCGAAATACATGCAGTTTGGTTGTACGTGAACATGAATTGTTCAAATTAAGCCAGGGATATAGTGTGTGTTCCGTACAAACGGTATCCATTGAAAATGAATTTAAAAGTATTGTCCGTTTTGTATAATCATCGATTTTTGGCATTGTATGTATACAAATAACGGCATCGTTTGGATGGGAACGTCTGATTTGCAAACAAAATACTGTGAATTTAAAACAAATCAATCTGAAAAACCAAAGCAAATTGAATGGTGATTGTGCTTCATTTGTTTTACGATAGATACGATCATTTTTATGGATCTTTAGCGGCCAGCTATGAATTTGACACAAATACTCAGAAGAGCTTGATTCGAGCTGCATACTTTGGCAAGGCATTTATTGCCAGCCATAATCCAGATAAATACATTGAAACATGTCGATACTAAAATCGGAATACCTTTAACATATGCACAGTAAATTTGATCATGAATTTTTGTTGTAGAATGAGAATAATGCTATGATTTTAATTATTATTCTTTGTCTATGTTTAATCGATTGAAGCCACATGTTGTGTTGGATCGATTGGTGTTTCGCAAACATTATGGTTTGGCCATTCAAATAGCAAAACATTTAAAATTGCCGGAATAACGAATTTTGGAACATGAAACAGCAGCTTTGTAGAATTTTTCGCACTCTCGTCACCGGCCAATCGCGTGCTATTAGATATACGGTTATATATTTGCCTAAAAATATGCATGGCGGCAGCGCCAACCATGGAACCATATTCACAACCCAACCCTGGAAACACATAAACAGATTTTATAACTTTTCATTGGTGTAAAAATGAAACAAAGGCGGTCTTCAATTTGCATGAAGAGTAAAAAACGTGAAAAATAGACAAACTACTAAAAAATGTTAATCATGGTTAGACTAAATGGAGTTTTTTTTTTTTAACGGAGTCAGTAAAAAACCATAATAACATACCTTTGCTTGTGGAAAACCTTCATGAACGTACGTTGGTAGCCATGAAAGTAGTACAAAGAAGCAATTATTTTGGCATGCGTGTGCAATGACCATGGCCCAAAATGCCGATTTTCGAAACAGAAGTAGCCATGGTACCGAATCATTTGCACTAACATTTGTTGTGCACAATCGACTTGGTATCGATAAATTAATAATACGATTTCGATCCGATGACATCGTATAAAATCGCATCATGAACGCCCATACAATGCCCAAAAATCCAATTATCCGAAAGGCCATCTGCCATCCAAAATAGTCTAATATAAATGATCCTAGGATGCCGGTCAACAGTGTACCAAGCGTCGAACCCGACGTTAACATGCTAAAGAAACTAGAACGCTCACTTGAATTTGAATACTGAAACAAAAACAAAGGGCTCCCTTTTAATAAAAACCAATTCACCACAGAAAAAAAATACTGCTCAATACCTGATTAGTGATGATGATCATGCTGGGAAAATGAACGCCTTGTAAGGCGCCATTCAATATTCTTATTGTCACTATAAAAGGAATGGTGTAATACCATTGTCGCGGTGTTAGTACGAGCAATTCTGGCATCCAAAATGTGATCAATGACCAACTAATAGCCGCTACAAATATTACGCGTTGGCCACCCATTCGATCGCTAAAGTATCCATCCAAAACCTGACGATAGAAGAAACATATTTTTGGGTATAAAAAAATCGATTTTTTTCAGTGTAAATTCGAGATTTTCTTTTAATTCTACCTGTGTACCGTTTTGCTCCATCGAAATTCGCTAGAAACAGCTGGCAGTAACAAAAGGAACTGATGTTCGTGTCGCGTACAGCATACACGTTCCCATCAACAATGTCATGAACCACAGACGCTTTTCATGCCTGAAAAAGTCCAGAAAATTAACTTTCGTTGCAAGAGTTTCATTGAAGCATCAACATTCACAGGTGGACTGGTTGACTGGTTTCAATTAATTTGAATTAAAAACATATAAAAACCTTGTCCAAATGCTGATGTCATCGTTGGGATCTCGTAACAACGAATATTTGAGTTTTTCGTCCATTCTTGTTTAGTTGCCAGGAACTTGTATGTTGTTTATGTATTGCTGTCAATTCTGGGCCTATTATGTCAATTCGTCGACATTATCTTATAATTTCCTACTTTCTATTTATTACAATTATTTGTTCTTTTTAAATTCGTCTAAAAAAGGTGATGTTTTTTCGTTTGTTGGAGCTACGTTTACATTTTGAATATCCACGTTCAATGTAATGTTGCGTCGACGATACAGAGAAAATAAAATGTTCGTCTTGATTAAACACACATATTTAAATACACTGGAAACAATTACGAACGATTTGCGTATGGAACCAAATGATTTATCAGATTAAGTTCGTCTTCGATGCGAAGATAAACAGATTTTACTTGCGTTATTGTTTGATTTAATACATTGATCGGGCAAGTGTATGCGATTATTTTTATTATTTTATTGGCACACACAATACGGAGACAGAGAGAGAGAGAGAGAGTGAAAAAATGCCAACAAGTACTGATAAACAATTCAGACTCGGTGTCTGTCAGTGCAACCAAATTTCAATTCACCACCATACAATGAAACGTCAACTTGTCAGCTGTGCGTAGTGAAAATCGTTTGAAATTTGAATTACTTTAACACACACAAAATGAGCTAAGTCTGAAAGAAATATAGAGTGTTTGGATAATAATAAGATGATTTCTACCGCACTGTGATCAACTTTGCCTCTAAGATAGTCTTGAGCCGTTTTCTGAAGGAAAAATAATTTCAAACTTTTTTCCGTTGAAAATGAAGTGAGCATTTGATTGAGAACTTGAAAAATGCTCTATTTTCTCCACAAATTTCGGATTTTTATTTAAGCAGAGCACTTGATTTTTATGAATTAGGCAACAATTTATCGGAATAGTACCACTTTTTTGTAAATATATTTCTTTATAAAACGTGAAAACCCAATAAGTTTCAAATTCGTCATAATTTAAGTGTTTTCGTTAAGAATTATTCGTTGCTGTTCTTATTAGAGGTGCAAAAGGCATATGAACGTAGGCATCAACAATGGTGATTTCAGCTTCTTTGCCAATAGCGGGGAAGAAAAGATCAACACATGCTTCAGTCAAGTGCTAGCAAAGCACAACCCAACAAATGTAATTATACACTAAAATCAACTATGGATAACATGGATTTTACAGTTCTATTTTAATTAATATATTGATTTCAATCCAAAATTCATTTTATTTTCGCATCCATTCTAACTGATTTTTTTCTCTTTTTTCATTCCATTGTAATTTACAATTGTAAATTAATTTACTACCGAAGCCGAAGCCAAAGCCAGAGCCAGAGCAACCATCAAAGACTAAACGGAAACCCCGTGGACCAGCAAAAGAAATTCCACCAATCGTTCCAGAATTCAAGGCAATTGTGGAAGGTCTTGATGAGGTCCATCGCTTTGATTGGCCCAGCAACAAAGATTTCGGTAATGGCCTCAAACATCTATGCAATCAATACATAGACAACAATGTCACCAATTCGCAAACACATGCTGATAAACACATAACTCAATATCTGAAGATGAAAGTGTTTCAGATGAACACAAATGAAGCCATTGAAGAGAAATACCTGCCAAGTGACATCGACTGTGTGGTGAAGCTCATTCTCAAGGAAAAGGTATGTTGAAAATGTTTATTCAAATCATGAAAAGAACTGAATTTTCAATGGTTCATATTGTTTAAGCTTACAATGGTTTTTTTTTTGACTCGTTGACATATTTTTTTAAAAATGAATTTATTCTATGTCCCTTGTTTCATTGAAAAAGGTCATCAAAGTGCCAGCTAGTGACCCAAATAAACTTTATCGGTGCGGAGTTTTGTATGACATCGTCAATAAATTGAATGTGTTCCCGGAAATCGACCTACATGATCTCACGACCAATTCAAAAAATTGGTTCAAAGCTGTGCCGATGTATCTATCTATGCAACGCGAGATAGAAGAATTTAATTTGCTGCGAGCACATCAAGAGCCACCGAAGAAACGCAAAAAGAGAAAGCGCAGAAGACCGAAGGGTAAGAAACGACAGTGGATCATCAAACGAAAACAAATGCTCGACGATTTGGAATATCTACCGTGCATTCGCAATTTGGTGGTAGTTCCGATGTGTGATTTTCGGCGTACGCATTTCAAAATCGACTGTTCGAGTATGTATCAGATCTTGTCTTCTCAAAAATTGATTCCGAAACAGTTAACTGAAGACGGAAAACCAAGTGACAAAAATATTTCACAAAAGGTTTTCAACGAGAATAAAGATTACATATGGAATCAGTATTTTTATATGCGTAAAATTCGGTGGTTTTTGCGCCGCAAAAAGAAATTTGACTTTTCGATAAACAGCGATGGAATTGCTGTGTCTCTGCAGTATTCCACCAAAAAGAAGGAGACCAGCAACACACAATCGGGCACCAGTCGATTGGACATCATTGACATGTTGAAGGCGGGCAAATTCAAAAGATTGGGAGGTACAGATTCAGGCATGCGGAACTGGAATACCACAACAATACATGAAATTGATACTTGCAAAGAAGTATGTGTAGTATACTAAAATACAATGATGCACATTGTGTTTAAGTTCACTAATTATTTTTGTTTTTTTTTTTTCGATTTATTCGCAGATCAACTTTGTTAAAAAGAGCAAGCAGTGCCATTGGGAGACACATCAAAACGTACGAAACGCAAAAGCGAAGCGATTCACGAAAAATTTCATCGAGAAAGAAAGACAAGATCGAGAGAATCGTGAGCTGTACGCAAT